ATCTATTGGATAATTTTGTAACACGAATATGCAATGTCCGTCCACCTTGCAGCATCCAGTTTTTTTAAATTATATATTTCGATACTCTTCCATACAAATTTCGTAATTTAGTTTTTAACAAATTTACTGTGTGGTTGGTACTACAGAATGCAACTTATCGTGAGACACAATATATCTTGTGCATTTCGTCGTCAGGTAAAAATAACGATTACTTCTAATTCGATCATACATCCTAAGGGAAACGTAAAAATTATCTGACATTATGCAAATCGATTAGACACATATGGAGATACGGACTTTTAAAGTTTATGTTCGAAATAAGCAACATGCTGATCAAGTTGAAATTCTACAGGTAATTTAATTTTTCTTTTTCTTCTCCTAATTGCTTAGAAATCATTGTCCCTAATTTGCCCTCTGCAAAATTCGGGTTTGCGGCACATTATATGTAGAGAAATTTTCAAAGCATTTAATTGTTTTTGTCCTGAATGGTAGTGGAATACTTTTGCATCCTACTGTATGTATGCGATTCCGTTTCGGGGTGCACTTGCTTTGTACATACTGCGCTTTTTTATACATGTAGCTTAATCAGCTCGCTTTAGCTACTCTACGCACCTTATCAGGAGATAGTTTAATTTCCGTTTTTCACAAAATAAAATCGTATTACTTTTACTAGTAGACGCTTTCCTGCTCTCTATTCGTAATATTTCTGTTGTTCTACCGTAACAGTTTTCCTCCCAAGCTTTTTGATATTCTTTTTTTTTTTCATTCCAAAAAAAAAATATCTCGATATATACACCGTTAATTCCCTTCACCCATAGTGCTGATTTCACACAATAATTATTCGTTCTTCTTATATCTTTTATTACCCGGACATGATCAACATTCAAATGTAATCTTACTGGCGTTTTTCCAATCCAATGCTTTACAACGATCGTGTTATGATCTCGCTAAAATACCTCAATGTATTCGCAATGTTTCATTATACGCAAAACGAAAGTCTCTCTCTCGTCCATCTACACACCAGTTTAGCTCGTTTTGTTAGTACAAACTCTTTGTCTCACTCACTGGACATATGGGTTATTCTAGAAACAGAAAAACGTTGACACTTTATCCTGGCATTATTGGTGCTTTTCTGAATAATGTAGACCTGGTATCATTCATCTTTGCACTATAAAAAAAGTCACGCATTACTAATTTGGTTGGCAATACTCTTATGCCCTCAACCGAGACTCTTTGGACGTAAGAAAAATTTTACGGAAAATAATATATATATAATATAGTATATATTACAGAAAACGAGTTTTTTATAATTTTTGTTTTATTTATTTAAAAAAAAAAACCTAATTAGGCAAAAAATATTGGGAAACGTACAATATTAAGATTAACACACCCGCAAACGGTGGTAGCCGACTAATTGACGTATTTGTACGTAAAATAATTATGTTTGTATTGGTCTGGTTGGTAAATAGTGTCTGTAATGAATGAATGGCCTTGCTATGAGAATTTACAAGAACGAAAAATTCTGGGATGCAAATGGAACGAAGAATTTAAAGTATCGTCTTTTGATTTAAGGATCAATTGACTCTGCATTGAAGGTGTATTCGCGTACTTACGATGAAGTAATTATGAGTTTAAATAGCCAGTAGTGAGTTATTTTCAAACTAGATCATTTTACAGCAATTATTGGAACGGCTATCTTTCTGACGTTATAGTTATACATACTACCCTTATCACGTCCCGAGAAGGAGAGTAAATATTCTGGTAAACTCTTACCTACTACTACTGGAGATCTACCCAAAGCAAGAAATAGCTATGATTTGGATTCAGCTGCAGACAAACTAAATCGTGTTGATATTAAATACAGTATATGTGGTAGTCAATTTGAATTATGTGTTAATTTAGTGATTCAAAAGTCTCAAATTCTATCTATACCAAAGAGATGATTGAACATAAGCAATGCATCATCTGCTACCATATAATTGTGATATTAATCTTCTTTTATTACGTATACTATACTGCTCTTTACTCGCCAAAACCCTTCGAATTTCATATTTCTCTTTCAATATACACTAGCATTCAATTCAGCAAAATTCACTTCCGACCTACCAAGGGTACATGCATTACATGCATTATGGGGAAAAAAAAAACATGTATGTAAACCAAAATACTGGTTTAGCCAGCTAACTTTAAAAGTATGAGATCATCAAGAGTCTGATGCACGCCTTGCAGCTCCTCATTCTCCAAGAATTGTGTTGGGAAAATAACCAAGTGACCCTTAATCTTGTTGAGAATGGCTTCAACTTCTTCGACTGA